TAACATCTTTTGTTAGACCCTCCCTGAATAAAAACTCACACCCACAGTTTGTGACATAGGCTTTCTATCATAAACGTGTTGTCTCCTGGCTCAAGCTAAAATAACCCTGATGACATCATTTGGGTTTTTTTTCTCTTTGACTTGATGACGCTCCCTTCAGAGCCGAAGAAGACAACATACAGCTATTTTCACAGGGTGGGTACACCCCATGACGAGTGGCCTAAATTAAACTCTGGGTGTATTATTGGTGGAATTCCCCTTTAAAATCCCAACAAACATTTCCTGAGGACAAAACATCTGTGTTCTCCACAGTGCTGCCCTAAAGTGACGCAACCATGTTTGTGTTTTACTCCACCCTCAGCTATCCAACAACACAGAGGCCTCCTTCAGAGACAGTGAGGCGTTAGTATCAACCTAAACAAAATTCTCTGGTCGTCGTCACTGCTGATGAAGGTCAAAGCAGCAGCACACTAATTCTTTTCTTGGTGTTGCACAGCCAACACGCCTGGCTGCTCGCCTGACTGTGGCAGGTGGTCTGAGTGACAGTTTGCCCTGTTTGTCTATCTGGCCCTTGAGGTTGGAGCTAAAAATAGATCACAGCTTTGAGGGCCACACCATTATTGTCAGCAGGACGACGTCACCGTGCAGCTGGGACGGACGAACACACGGCTTCATTTCCTCCGCCGGCAAACTATGGTTTGTATTATAGACCTGTTTAGTCAGTGATACTTAAACTACACAGACCACTGATTTATTTATTTATTTATTTATTCACTTATTTATATATGTTTTTTTTTTTTTCATTTTTACACCTTTTAAAGTCTTTGTTTTGTGGCTGAAAGTTCTTCACCTTTAAACCCAAGTTCTACATCATTTTTGACACACTTATATTTATTCATATAACCATCACTGCTCCGTAGCTCAGTTCCTTTGCACATTGCGCCACCGACTGGTGTTCTCGCAGCATTGTTATGGTGCGTTCAAGTGTTGTCGGAAAATATTCATATAGCAAAGTCAGCATACTCGATATAATAGGAGTGCCAGAATTTTCTCTGATCCATGACATTTAGACGTTTTGTTTCGGGGGATTTTGCTTTTAGCAACCTCGCTGTTCTTTCGATTCAACAATAAAAAGATAATAGTGAGCATTTTATAGACATATTAAGTTCTTTTTGTAGATTCACTCTATTCAAATATTGAATAAGCAGTTCCCCATAAGAGTCCCTTTTCTGTCAGGGTGGAGAAGATTGAAAATAGAAAGTGTGTTGTGAAAAAAAATCACAATGTAACGGAACTGTTAAAAGAGTAAATAAAACATTACATATTGTATAATACATTGTGGATCTTTTCAGAAGAATTTGGACTTTTTGGGTTTTATAATACGGAAAATATGAAAATCCTGTCAAAAATAGGACTAGTTGACCAAAGTCATAAGCATACTTCGTTGTTTCTACATTTTTATGTGCTATATGCTATTAAACGTTGGAAGCGTTAAGGCCAGCCTATTTGCTCAACTGAAGTCCCCCGTTTCCGAGGGTCCTTGAACGTGTTATCTAACCATCAGTGTGCCTATGTCATCAGCATGAGACAGAAACGGGTGAAAGGTACCCGTCTGTGCAACATAATAGCAGTACATCAATGGACCAGAGGAAGTAGAGGTTGACGAAGGAAGAATGATGAATGTAAACAGATTGATCGTCTTCTCTAAAACTGTTCAAGCAGGAAAGCAGCTTCTCTCCTGTAACGTCAGGCATGCTGGGAAAGAAGTGCTGAACCTCCAGCAGCGGAGGTCCTTCAAAACTCACTCAAGAAACCTCGTTTATGCGAAGGATTTGTTCCTCGGTCAGGTGAACAAGGTAAGAAGACTGAATGATTGTCGTCGCCAGTGATGGGCGGGTGAAGCCCCTTTTCCTCTTTGGTTAACCTATAAAAATCTGGTCTAACCTCAGCTGCTAACCTAATCTACTGTATGAGGGCATCTGAAGGTAAAAATTCCGGTTGCCCCAGCTGGGGTAATGTTCAAGAGTTAAAGTTGTAAATTTATTAGAAAAGGTATTTAAGTCGTAAATTTATGTTAATTAAAAAAAAAAACTCAAATATTCTCTGTAATTATAAATATGAATATGTTATGTTAGAGCCTCATGCTGACAGAATATAATTTTTTTTTTCATTTGAGAACGCAAAAATAAAGCGATATACTGTAAAATCTGAGCTGCTTCTGAGTCTCCCTGCTTTGTCCATTTCTTGGTCTCTGGTTCAATGACTTAGTGGGCCAGATGGGCAAACCAATTATGCATTTTATGACTAAAAGCGTGAAAGTTTCAGCATACAATCTACATACCCCAAGGTTTAATTCAGACATGGAGGCGCTTTGTATATAAGCACTGCATTTTTCCAGTTTTTGCCCCATCACTCTGTAATAATCATGTATATCTTTGCACAAATGGCATTTTTGTTCAAAAAAGATGCTTATTTGCTGCTATGGTCATGTAAACATAATTTTGCTTAGACCACCATATTTGCCAGGGGACTGCGGGCCCCTTCATTTCCCAGGTGTTGAGGTACTATAGCTCGTTAAAAACACTGAAAACTTCTGCTGTGTGTTCTATGAAGTCACATGACTAGCTAGCACATTAGCGAACATTCTAATCAGAAGCTAGCATGCTATTGGGTCTGGTCACACTCATTACTCAGGGGGCTCTGCCCTGTCCCAGGGTCAATCTGGAATGCCTCCACATCTAAAATAAACTTCATGGTTTATAGAAGCAGAGGAGAAAAGTTTCATGCTTCATCATAAATGCACAATAACCTTCCATATACAAAGCTTATCTGCTGCAATAAACTGGGTAGGTCTAACCACACCTTTCTGTAGCTTTTCCATCTACATGTGGTGCCTTAAGACCACATTAGGCTTTTCTTTTAGTGGCCCCTAGAGTCCTAGCAGTGACCTTCTTTTACCTAAAAGTGGTCCAACTTACAAAAAAACAGGAAAGTTTTTCTAGGAGTCCTAGGATGTATCGCACTTATTGATGCTTTTCTATCTTAAAGTTGTTTCCTAGAGTCCTATCCTGTACTCATAGTCCTAAGTGGAGGAGATAGGTGTTCCCAATTTATTTCAATTCAATGTTTTTAATCATATATCTATCTATCTATCTATCTATCTATCTATCTATCTATCTACTATCTATCTATCTATCTAATCTATTTATTGCCTAAAAACTGTTCAAATAAGTAAAATTGGTTCATAAAACAATGTGATGTGTAATTTGTGCGTAATTGCCGAATTAGAAACTTGACCCTTGCCCGTCATTCCTGCTGCACCTTTTCATAATGCACTCAGTAACATCTTTTGTTTAGACCCTCCCTGAATAAAAACTCACCACCCACAGTTTGTGACATAGGCTTTCTATCATAAGGTGTTTGTCTCCTGGCTCAAGCTAAAATAACCCTGATGACATTATTTGGGTTTTTTTTCTCTTTGACTTGATGACGCTCCCTTCAGAGCCGAAGAAGACAACATACAGCTATTTTTCACAAGGGTGGGTACACCCCATGACGAGTGGGCCTAAATTAAACTCTGGGTGTATTATTGGTGGAATTCCCCTTTAAAATCCCAACAAACATTTCCTGAGGACAAAACTCTGTGTCTCCCACAGTGCTGCCCTAAAGTGACGCAAACCATGTTTGTGTTTTACTCCACCCTCAGCTATCCAACAACACAGAGGCCTCCTTCAGAGAGTGAGGCGTTAGTATCAAACCTAAACAAAATTCTCTGGTCGTCGTCACTGCTGATGAAGTCAAAGCAGCAGCACACTAATTTCTTTTCTTGTGTGTTGCACAGCCAACACGCCCTGGCTGCTCGCTCTGACTGTGGCAGTGGTCTGAGTGACAGTTTTGCCCTGTTTGTCTATCTGGCCCTTGAGGTTGGAGCTAAAAATAGATCACAGCTTTGAGGGCCACACCAATTATTGTAGCAGGACGACGTCACCGTGCAGCTGGGACGGACGAACACACGGCTTCTTCATTTCCTCCGCCGGCAAACTTTGGTTTGTATTATAGACCTGTTAGTCAGTGATACTTAAACTACACAGACCACTGATTTATTTATTTATTTATTTATTTTCACTTATTTATATATTGTTTTTTTTTTTTTCATTTTTACACTTTTAAAGTCTTTGTTTTGTGGCTGAAAGTTCTTCACCTTTAAACCAAGTTCTACATCATTTTTGACACACTTATATTTATTCATATAACCATCCACTGCTCCGTAGCTCAGTTCCTTTGCACATTGCGCCACCGACTGGTGTTCTCGCAGCATTGTTATGGTGCGTTCAAGTGTTGTCGGAAAATATTCATATAGCAAAGTCAGCAATACTCGATATAATAAAGGAGTGCCAGAATTTTCTGTGATCCATGACATTTAGAACGTTTTGTTTGGGGGATTTCGCTTTTAGCAACCTCGCTGTTCTTTTCGATTCAACAATAAAAAGATAATAGTGAGCATTTTATAGACATATTAAGTTCTTTTTTGTAGATTCACTCTATTCAAATATTGAATAAGCAGTAAGAGTCCCTTTTCTGTCAGGGTGGGAAAGATTGAAAATAGAAGAGTGTGTTGTGAAAAAAAATCACAAATGTAACGGAACTGTTAAAAGAGTAAATAAAACAATTACATATTTTATAATACATTGTGGACCTTTTCAGAAGAATTTGGACTTTTTGGGTTTTATAATACCGGAAAATATGAAAATCCTGTCAAAAATAGGACTAGTTGACCAAAGTCATAAGCATACTTCGTTGTTTTCTACATTTTTATGTGCTATATGCTATTAAACGTTGGAAGCGTTAAGGCCAGCCTTTTGCTCAACTGAAGTCCCCGTTTCCGAGGGTCCTTGAACGTGTTATCTAACCATCAGTGTGCCTATGTCATCAGATGAGACAGAAACGGGTGAAAGGTACCCGTCTGTGCAACATAATAGCAGTACATCAATGGACAGAGGAAGTAGAGGTTGACGAAGGAAGAATGATGAATGTAAACAGATTGATCGTCTTCTCTAAAACTGTTCAAGCAGGAAAGCAGCTTCTCTCCTGTAACGTCAGGCATGCTGGGAAAGAAGTGCTGAACCTCCAGCAGCGGAGGTCCTTCAAAACTCACTCAAGAAACCTCGTTTATGCGAAGGATTTGTTCCTCGGTCAGGTGAACAAGGTAAGAAGACTGAATGACT